CAACCTCATTTCCCACCAAGCCATCTCAAGTTGAGGCTTCTCATCCCAGTCCCAGTCCCTCCCTCGGGGCCAGTGGAAAGGTGGCTTCCTATGGTCCCCTTGCTTCTTCAACCTGGGCCTTCCCAACATGGCCCCAGTGGCCAAACATCCCAGGGGTCGGTTTCCATGCAACCTCCTCCCAGAGCCTGAGGGAGAGAAAGCACCAGCCCTGCCTTTGGTAGCTTTTAAGCCCTCAGTAAATATTAGTTCCCTTCCTTGTTCCTAATCCTCCCAGTTGGAATTTATAACTCCTTCCCTGCTGCACACACAGCATTTTGTTAGCACTTTAACCACAACACTTTTTCTTTCTGCCTTGCAAGATAATGAGTTGCCTGTGTGTGTCTCTCCTCCACATTAACTCCCTAAGAACAAGGATGACACCTCACTGATGCCTACGGCCTTATATTGCCCAATAACGGAGATCCGCATAAACTACACAACATGTGTGTGTTCATTTGTACAACAAGATGGGAAGAAAATGAAATTCACCTACAGCTTTGGGTTTTCAGGGCAAGGTCTTGGGAATCGGTGACATCAAATCAGAAACAAAAGCAGAATTCCGTGAAAAAAGAAAATGAGGGAAACAAAACTCGAGACTGCATCTTCAAGGTGTTTTCAATAAACTAGTCAAGCACTCTTGAAACAAAGCATTTATTTATTTTTTATACATACAATTTCTATGAAAGACGCACACATGTGTTAGGCCCTACTCTGCCTCAGGCACTACTCTAGGCACCGGAGAAGCAAAGACGGATGCAGTACAGCTCTGTGCCCACCATCGCTCAGACACACATATAACAGGAAATGATGGCTTTAAATTGATCCTAACTTTTGAGAAAACAGGTCCCCTGTTAACGCTTAGGCAACATAATGCTTTCCTTTTTCTGATCTGCTGAACAATGTCTAAAGTAACAAAACTATTTTCATCGTAATGTTTCTCACACTGCTCAAGTATTTAAACACTGAAAATTCATGATATCCTGAAGTAACTAAATGTATAATTCTGCAATAAATTGTATATCATTGTACTTTAAGTTCTAGTCTAAGCAGTGACAGCCAAATTTAAAAAAATTTTACGGAGGGCCTGCCAAGTGGCACGTTGGTTAGGAGTTGGCTTGGGACGCCAGCTCTGAGCAGCAGAACCCCGGTTCAGATCCCACATGAGGGCCAGTGACACTGTGCCCTCTACAGCTTAGATGGTGAACAACAGCTCAACCTGGAGCTGGGCTGCTGTGAGTCCTCGACGACGGCGTAGGTTGCACTGGGGTTGGCCGGCAGTGGGCGTGAGCTTCTGTGAGCTGCTGTGAGCTGCCATGAGCTGCTGTGAGCGGCTGTCCAATGGCCGGCGAGTGACTGCCTCACCCGGGAAGAGCACAATGATAAGACCAACATGGGCCAGTGAAGCGACGTCCTCTACAACTAGACTGAAGAACAAAAGGACAGCAACTTCTCTGTTCCCCTTGCCCGATTCCCCAGAGCCGTTCCCCTCCCCCAATTCCCCAATAAAATCTTAACAACAACAACAAAAAAAACCTATATGGAAGTGGAATATAAAACTGAGAAAATCCTAATTATTGATTTAAGCATCACTACCCTTTGAAAAAGGCCACTGTGATTTTAGTTTATCAGTAGACACTTAGGATCCACTGAACTGAATATTGAGAATCAGTGCTTAAAATATCTCAAGTTCAGTCTTTTAATTCAAATTTTGATGGGTCTTTCCAACAGTTAATCACTTTTGAGCCCCTCTGTACTTTAACAATCCTTCTCCTGGAAATCCAATATCCATTTTCAAAGTCACTGGCGGGCTTGTTGTTTGTCAGCAGGGCTTTCACTAGGGAGCCACTTTCTGGGCTATTATTCTGAACTAGGTTACCAAATTCCTTTATGTTGCCTCTGAGAAAACACTGCCTTTTATTCTACTTGGAGTTTTATAACAGTTCGTCAAAGTCACCTTGATATTGAACACTTGCATCCATGCATAGAGCCACTAAAAAATAGTCATAAAATCATTGCATGAAAGGAGTCCCTGAAAATCCAGTAAACATTTATTGATTTCCACCTTGAAGAGAGAAAGCAAGCAGGTAGGTTGGAAATTAACAATTATTGAGTTCCTAGTATACGCCAAACTCTATGTTAGGCACTTTCACAAATGTTATTTTATTAAACCTCATGCTATCCCTGCAAGATACTTAATATTGTCCTATCATTACTATGATTATTTTACTGATGATGGAACTAAACACGATTAATTATCTTGCCCAACTTCACACAAATTATAAACTGTATAATATAATAAATAATGCCATACTATGGTCTCTGCAAAGACTTTACACTGATTTTTTTTCCATTTAATTTTCTTTGAAATCCTATAATGTATGTACTAGTATGGTCATCATTTTATAGATGAAGGAAGTGAGGCTTAGACAGATTAAATAATTTGTCCAAGATCACTCAGCAAAGTAGCAAAGCTGTCATTCAAAACTCAAATCCTTTCATGTCCTCATTAGCGTAAAGCCCTATGCAGAGTGATCTGCTCAACACCACAGTCAAGTCTAGTCCAGGTTGGAACTGAAATGTGGGAAAGTGATGAAAAAAGAAAGCATATCCTAAGTAATAACGTTAGAGAAGCTTAGAACTTGGAGTCAGAATACAAGGTTCAAGTCTTAGATCTCTCATATTCAACTTTATACTCTTAGGCAAGCTGACTCATTTCTCAAAATGAAGATAGTAATATTGTTTATCTCATAGAATGGCTTTTAAGGTTCAAATGAGATAACATAGTGAAAGCTGCCTGCAAACTGTAAAAACATTATGCACATGAATTAGCATTAGTATTAGTACAGTCAGAGGAAGACAAAACGTCCTTCAAATTTGGGGAGATCGGGTAGGAGTTCATCGAGGGATTGGAATAGTATCATTGTAAAACAGAATGAAGTAAAATTACCCACATCATGACACTTCATATTGAAGCCAAGATTCTATAATCATTTATATTGCTTTTAGGAAACTCTTATGTCTAAATCCATTCCAGAGAGACCAAGGCCATATCAATATTCTCAAGTTTAGTTACTAAATACAATGTGTGTATATGTGCAGTATTTAACACTTGGGGGAAAAAAAATCTGCCTTAAAATTAGTCAGAACTAATGGTAACTACAGAAGTCTTTTCTAAGAAGACCTGGTCTGTTTGGCACTATCTGAATCTAGTTTTTAATAACATCAGAAATGACTCTTTTCCATAATCAAAGCAATGCAACTATCATCTGTCATAAAGTGACTATCTTAAGACAGTTTGAATGTCCAAATCCCCAGAATCAGATGTTTTGTTTATAAAGCATTAAGGGAAGGAAAGTGGACTTTAATTTAATATGGACTCTCTAAATGGCTTAGCCTCAAAGAAATAATACACACACACATACATACATATATCCGTATATACATACATACACATATACAGACATACACATATACATATACACATACATATACATGGACATATACATAAAGACAGGGAGATAGAAACAGAGAGGGAGAGAGAAACGAGGAGACGTGTAAGAGTGTAAGATTGGGAGCGTCTCAGACAAGCTGCCTAGTGAGGGAGGGAAGACCGTGGGCATCTACAGTGTTTTGGGTGAGCACTCGTCACTAACTGGGTGGCAGAGGTGTAATTTGGAGATAAAAACTATCTCCACAAGGGGAAAAATACAACAGGGCAAAAGCTTTATGGTCAGAATCGGTGGATCTAGATTGGAACGCAGGCCCCACCATGTCGATGTAATTCTGGACGTTTACCTTCTTTGGGCTTCACCGTCATATGCAGAGATGATGATTTCTATATGCTCACTTCAAATACTTGTTTTGAAGCTCAAATGAGATTATGTATGTGGAAACATTTGCTAACCAGAAGGGCTATGTGAATATTTGTTGGTTGGTTCATTCATTCATTTTATAATACTTTTATATAACTTAACATGTGTAGGGCATCGCCCTGGTGATACCGATAGTTATCAGTCACGGGTCTTAACAGTAAGGAGCATAAAATCTAAAAAAATGAATCATATAGGTAATAAATGCTCTAGATAAATTACTATGTGGGGTTCAGTTAAGGAAGAGATAGCTTAAATATAGTTGGGGGGCATGGTGGATGGAGCCGAGATGGCTTTGGAAGAGGTGACATTGGAATTGGTGTGATGGCTTAAATTATGTCCCAGAAATTCTGTGCTGAAGTACTAACCCCTGATACCTCAGCTATTAACCTTACTCAAAACAGTGTCATTGCAGAGGTAATTATTTAAATTAAGATAAGGTCATACTGGAGTAGGGTGGATCCCTACTTCAATATGACTTGTCTTTATAAAAAGGGGAAATTTGCACACACACAGACAGAATCCCATGTGAAAACTGGAGTTCTGCTGAGAGAAGCCAAGGAACTACCAGAAGCTCCAAATGAGACCTGGATCAAATTCTTCCTAGTGCCTTGAGAGGGAGCGTGGCTACTGTCACACTGACCTCATACTTCCAGCCTCCGGAACTGTGAGGTAATGCATTTCTGTTGTTGAAGTCATGTGGTTTATCGTACTCTGTTATGGCAGCCTTTGGAAACTAATATTGCTGGTTATATAGATATATAAGAAAGGTAGTTTATGTACAGAAATGTACGTTATTAATATGTTTATTAGTATCATTAAGCTAATATAAAATATAAATATAATTATAATACGACATACTTGTAATATTAAGAACCTAGCAGTGCTTGGTTGGCACATTGTAGGAACCAAATAACTATTTATTGAATGACTGTTTTAATGAATAAAAAGGAGATCACAGAAAAAGGAATGGTTGGCATCAAATATACATTTTTTTATCCGTTTCATACTTCCCCACCCCTGGGCCTGTCCTCTACTTATCTCTCTCGCTGTCTGTCTCTCTCTCTCTCTCTCTCTCTCTCTCTCTCTCTCTTTCTCTCTCTCTCTCTCTTTTTCTCTCTCTCTCTCTCTCACACACACACACACACACACACAGTCAGAAAAATCCACACTCCTGTGAAAAATGCTGCCATTTCACCTTTGTTTACTCTAAGAAATTCTATGTAGGAAAGCAAAGGTATTTTTTTTAAAAGGCAATAACAAGAAATTCAAAACTTGTAAAAATCAAAGTGCTGAGACTAATGCACTTTAGAAGATTGAAAGCTGTGATCCCGAGAGAGAACACGTCATGATAAACATTTCTCACAGGCCAACACAGTGCTCTTGAACACGGCAATCTGATGAAAAGCCCTAAAGACCAAAGGCCTCTAATTCTCCATGGCAGGAGCAGCAATCGTCAAATTAATATCAGAAGTACACTCCTAAATCAAGTTGTTTGCAAGTGTACTCAGAGAGGAGGCATCTTACAAAATGGAGACAGAGCTTTTGCAATCATTGCCTAGACCAAGTGTTGTCAGAGAAGATGGGTCTTAATTTACTCAACATATTTTGGTTTTGTAATATTCAAGATTCGTTCTTGCCAATGACTGAAAAACATATGAGGTTCTTTAAAGGCAAGCTTTTAAAATGTACTCTGGAATGGGGTACGGAGCTATGCAGAGGGGAGGAGGGCTGATTACTGTGTTTGTGTCCACTACAGATGTGTTTGGGAGTGGGGCAGTCAGCGCAGGAAAAAGAGCTCATCCACCTACTGGGAAAATATAGCAGTGATAACGGTCTGGCTCAGAATTTACCAAGTGGATGCTAAATTTAGGGACGTGAGTCAGGTTTTCAACTAAGGGGAAAAGGATACAAATCTATGAGAACAACCAGCTGCATGACCTTGGGGAAAGTTATTCAACATCACTGGTTTCAGAATCTCCATCTGCAAAATTAAAAAAAAAATTAAAAAAAAATTAAATCACATGATCTTTAAAATCCCTTCCAGTACTTAGTTTTAAAAAGAGGGGAGATGAAAGCATAAGAAAGCTGTGGCCTCTGCAGAAAAAGAAAAGATGCTATGTCCCAGTAATATTATTGCATTCATACTTGTAGGACCCAGAGCATAAATGTAGACATTGGAAATATTTTTTTTAATGATGATGAATGAAACCATCATATGGTCAATTACTGGATCTGTCAGTTAAGCATCTGTACACCTGCCACACACTGAGCCCTATACTTCCTGCTTCTCTTGTTGGATTATCAGTGGGGGTTTTGGTACTTAATTATGGCATATGGATTCTCTCAAAAGAACACAATTTAAGTGTCTTTGTTTATTCACGCATTCATTAATTTCCTCACACATTTATTGGTAGGATAGGCCAAGTATAGTGTTAGTCACTCGTGATATAAAGCGACAAGGAAGCACCGGCCCCTGCTCTCCAGAAGCTCACAATCAAGTAGGGTGAGATAAATAAATAAGCAGATGATTACTATACTGTGCTGGATTCAAGGAAGAACATACAGGGGCTCCTAACCCACAGTTGAGCGATCAGGAAAGAAGATGTGATTGAAAAAATTCATAGCTCTGATGACACCCACATGATGAGTAGGTATTCACCAGACAGAGTAGGAAGAAGAGGGTTTAAGCAAAGGAAACAGCATGTCAAAGGTCTGAAGGTGACCGAGTGCCTGGGATAAAGGCAGCTTCGTGTGGGTGGCTCCTGCCGCACAGGGGAGGGCTGTGAAGAAGGGCAGGCTTCCAGCTGGAGGAGTGAGTGGATCTAGGTCATGACAACTGTGCTGAAGAGCCAGGTGTCATGCTGAGGGCGCAGGAGCTACAGAAGTTTTCAAGCAGAGGATGTGGTGTGATGAGACGTGCATTGATGGAAGATCACTGATGCCCAAGGGTTCTCATCTGACAACCTAACTCAGGGAAGCCATTGGCCCTGGGGTCACGTCAGCTGTTCCACCCGGGAGTCACACAGCGCCCCTCCTTCACCCAGGTGCCCATGATGATGCCCACTCTCCAGGGCAGCCTGCATCTCATCACACGAGTCATTCATGTCTTCAGAATCATTTGCGACAGGGAAGTACACGTGCTTGAACTGTTACAGTCCTTGGTCGGATACACCTTTGCCTTAGGTCTAGGATACATAAGCTCTGTCAAGGGCGATTCTGGCCCAACCTTTAACCTTTTTGGTTTCCTACCTCTTCCTCAATAACAAAAACCTTATTTTAGGCAGAATGTCATGTCCAACACCCGGCAAGACCACCTGCTTTTCTCAGATCCCTTACAGGCAGAAATGGCCACAAGACACAGTGACACAATTCTGGACAAGGAAACCATGAGTGCAAGATGGTTGGGGGTCCTGAAAAGGCTTTTGTTTTATATGATAAACTAGGAAAGCTGTTCCCGTTTTTCATCCTGCCCTAAATATGGACATGATGACTGCAGTAGCTGAGGGCAAGACGACAAAAATCTCAGAAAGTCTATGCTTGAGCCACTTAACCAATAGCAGCAACTGCCTTTTCCTAGATTCCTTACATTAAAAAAAGAATCCTATTTATTTGAACATTAGTTTTGTTACCTACAGTCTAATATTTCCTAACAATTAGGAAGATGACAACATTTATCTTGTTGGAAAATACTAACGTATACGAAAAGTTTATGCAATAAGTTCAATTTTAGATTTGTTGGACCCAGGTTTCTAAGAACCAGCTAAGTGGGGTGTCCAACTAAGAACTGGCTGTGTATGTTGCAGTGTTTTCTTCCGTGTTTTGTGGTTGGGAAGGATGGAAGGAAGGAGGGAGATCAAGATGGGGGGGTCAGTGCAGATCAGCATTCTGACCACTATCACAGAAAATCTACGCCTGAAATCATGTCCTATGTTTCTGTGCTTTTTGTATTTTGAACACACAGGAGGCAAAGGAACGTGTAAGGGGTGTAGTTCCTTCATGCTTTTTCTGTTACCTGGGTAGTATCTGTTGTGTATGTTTTTCTCTCTTAAGTAGGAAAGAAAAAATGAAAAACAAACAAACAAACAAAAGTCTGGCTGTCTTTTATTGTTAGAGATAGGTAGAATTTTAGGGTTCATTCTTTTCTAAAGTATTGTATAAGCAGCTTCTATTAGCCAGGGGTGTTCTGTAAAAGATAACTGCAGACCGGCAGAAAGGAGAACAATGCATAATTACTGACCTTTTTCTCTCCCTCTTTCATTTTAGTGTTAAATTAGTAGGAAAAAAAAAAAGGAGGGGATATAATGGGGAAAATGGGGAAATTAAGAGAATATAATATTTTGTATATTGGCATTAGGAAAAAAAAAACAAGTACCTAAATATCACTAGTCCTCAAATAGTGAGCTACTCCAACACTACCATTTGTCAATGCAGGTTAGGCTATTTTGGTTATAAAAAAACAAGATCAGTCAGATAGCCAAACAAAAAGGACTTGTTACGCAGTGTTATTAAAAAGAGGGAGGGAGAGGGAAAGGAAGGGAGACAGAAAGAAATCAGGCACTCCTGGAGAAAAGAAAAATTACGGCACTGCCAAATTTGATGCAGTACTGGAATGTATTAAAAGGTCATTCTGGAACCCAACTAAGATTTGGAATTGGATTATTTTATCTCAATAGCAGTCAATTGGATTTTAACCTAAATGTACCTTGAGAAACTGTCCAGCTGTTTCTTTTCATGTTTCTACACTACATTTCCACTGCAAACTGACAATTTACCCTCTGGTCAATTTTCTCCACCTCACCCTTACTCATGGTTTCTGCTTCCTCCTAATGTCACTCATGTGTGCTCCTTCTGCTTTGTAGCTTCATTGTATTCCGTCAGCTCCCTCTCCTACTGCAACCAACCTTTAGAACTGCCCAATTTAGCATTTGGAGCAAGAATTGGAAGTGGGAGGGCTCATGATGGCTGAGCAGAGCCATGCTATGGATTGGCCGTCTCCAAGGTTGTCTGCCAGCAAGTTTTGCTGTTGGATAAGATTTCACCCCTGTTTCAATCAGTGTAGCTAGGAAGGATCACACAGAAACAGTCAAGATCCCTTCCCTTCAGCAAAGACCATGGATGAGGGGGCTGTTCCCTTCAGAGACGGAGTCTGGAGGAAACCAAGTTAGCTCATCGAGCACTTCTGAGAACCATCAAAAAAGGGGGCAGTGAAGAAATATGTTAGTGCATATACTGCCATGAAGAAAGTAACTTCCTATCTATACTTGCAGAACCAGACATCGTAGGATAATTATAGAATAAATACGTGTGTGAATAGCTGATTTGATTTAGAAAGATGACTGCTATTTCCCTGCAGTGGTATCAAATGGCTGGGTTTATTTTCTCAAAGACCTTAGTAACACATGTTTCAACAAGCTTAGCACTTTTGCTTGGGATATAAACGTCAAACTGCCAAAATCATAAAAAAAAACTCTAAAACAATTTTTGGAAAAAGCTTAATAGAAAAGAAAAATGCATAAACATTATAAAGAAGCCAAACACAAATGCCAATCAAGAAAGTAGGTGAAACAGAACAGTATACAGCCATTTTTCTCCCACAGAAATCTTAACTCACTTGGAATTTAATCTATGTAATTTCTTCTTTTTCAAATTCCATTTAGAATAATGTCCTGTTGATACTTTGCATCTTTTCAGGCAATGTGCCCATGTGAAGAGACATCCTTTCTGAAACACTGTTTGTTCTCTTATTTAGCACCTTTACAAAAAAAAAATGATAACAAGCATCTTAATCATTTCATGCTGAGTGAAGCATTTTAGTACATTTATAAGGTAATGTTATTTAGAATCTTAGGACATTTCCTTCCTTCCTGTAAGTTCTTTTCTTGTAGCTGGAAGGCATAGCATGCAAATTCATTTTTACATTTTTGGATTTTTTTTTCATGGTCTTCATCCCTCCTTTCTTTAGTATTAATTTTAACAAGTGAAGCCACTTACCTTAGGTCTTCCTTAAGCTCTCTGAAGTTTCAATAGTTTTCCTTGGCATTCTCTTCCCTAATTTCTTTACTCTGTTGCTCTGCAAGAAAAAAAGTCTTCATTTAACACCTTTACTCATCTCTTAATCTTCTCTACAGGTTTTTCTACACTTAATATATATTTGATATTATTGAAGCAAAAGAATTCTGAGCAGTCATTCTTTCAATATTTAAGAAGAGCCTACTAAGTGTTAACATTGGGAGGGCTGCTTGACCATATCACCTGCTGGCTTTCCTCTTCCGGTCTCTGAATGTTTGTGTATGTTTTAGGATGAGGGTGGCATTCTGTAGCATTCTACTGTCAATAAAATAATTTAACAAATATAATTTACTAGCCCTGCTTATTTTCCTCCTAAAATGAACTATATTTTATCTTTCTTTGGGGCTACTTGTTGGAAAGCTATAATTGGTTTTCTATGGGGGAAGGGTATCCAAAATACACACTTTGCCAAATTAAAAAATTAAGCTCATTTTACAGAGAAAGACAAATTCCATGATTTCACTTATATGTAGAAACTTAAAAAAAAAATAAATGAACACACAAAACAGAAACAACTCATAGATACAGAGGCCATTTTGATGTTTCCCAGATGGGTGATGGGAGAGGGGTTGGGGAGATGGGTAAAAAAAGTGAAGGGAATAGGAAGTACAAATTCACAGTTACAAAATAGTCACAGGGATGTAAAGTACAGCATAAGGAATATAGGCAATACTATTGTAATAACTATATATGGTGCCAGATGAGTACTCGACTTATTGAGGGGAATCACTTCATAAGTTATATAAATGTCTAATCACTATGCTGTACACCTAAAACTAATATTGAATGTCAACTATAATTGAAAAATAATTTTTTTTAAATTAAGGTCATTTTATATCCAGAGCCCAAATTACTATAGTGATTGACCTCATTAGTGATGTCACAATCATATTTCAAAGACAATGGAATAAGTCCACTTATTAAATTCTAAATTCAGATATTTTTTTCAGTTCTTCTAGATTATTCTGCTGTTTCTTTCCCCTTTACTAGTCTTACCAACAGATCCAAGACTCCTTTCTTGCAGTCTGTGATGGCTAGTTTCATGTGTCAGCCTGACTGGGTAAAGAGGTGCCCAGATAATTGGTCAAATATTATTCTGGGTGTTTCTGTGTGGGTATTTTTGAATGAGATTAACATTTAAATCAGTAGACTGAGTAAAGCCGACTGCCTCCTTAATATGGTTGGGCCTCATACAATCAGTTGAAAGCCTGATTTTAACAAAATGGCTAACTCTTCCTTAGGAGAGATTCCTTCTTGCCTGACTGACGGTGTTTGAACTGGGATATGTTTTTTTTGCCCGCCTTAGACTGGAACAGCACGATCGGCTCTTCTGTTTCTCAGTGCCTCACCTGGAACTTATTGTCTCTCCTGTGTCTCCAGCTTGCCGACTCACGGTGCAGATCTTGGGACTTGCCAGCCTCCATAATCATGTAAGACAATTCCTTATAGGAAAATCAATCAATCTCTGTCTCTCTCAACTCTGTACAGATGCACCTTGTCTCACAATGGAGTTACAAGTCCCAATAAACCCACTGCATGTTGAAAATATCGTAAATCAAAAATGCATTTAACACACCTAACCTACCAAACATCATAGCTTAGCCAGCCTATCTTTAATGTGCTCAGAACACTTACATCAGTCTGTAACTGGGCAAAACCATCCAACAGAGTAAATGCACTATAGGGCATGGGTTGTTTACCCTCCAGGATCGCATGGCTGACTAGGAGCTGCAGCTTACTGCTTCTGCCCAGCATCACCAACAGTACCGTACTGCTTATCGCTAGACCAAGAAAAAATCAAGTTTAAAGTATGGTTTCTGCTGAATGCATACACCACTCTCACACCACCATGAAGTAAAAAAATCCTAAGCTGAACAATTGTTAAGTTGGGGACCACGTGTGTGTGTGTGTGTGTGTGTGTGTGTGTGTGTGTGTTTATATACAAAATTTGGTATCTCCTCTCGGATCTATTTCTCTGGAGACCTAACTAATACAAAGTCCTACCAGCCACCCTCCATCCCATCTTCTCCTGGAGGGAAGGAAGCAGAGAGGGAGCAATGGGCAAAATACAATGAGGGTAGTTTCTTTAAAAGAGTAAAAGAGAGGGCCGGCCGAGTGGCGCAGTGGTTAAGAACTGGCTTGGGACGCCAGAGGGCCCCGGTTCGGATCCCACATATGAGGGCCAGTGACACTGCCCTCCACAGCTAAGATGCTGAACAACAGCTCAACCTGGAGCTGGGCTGCCATGAGTCACTGGCAACGGCGTAGGCTGCAGCCCCTGTGCCATGTGGCAGCGGGCGGCCAGTAGCCACAGTGAGCGGCCGTCCAGAAGCCAGCGACTGATGTGCTTCGCCCGGGAAGAGCGCAATGATGGTGCCAACTTGGGCCAGTGAAGCAATGTCCTCCACAACTAGACTGAAGAACAAAACGACAGCAACTTGTTGTTCCCATCCCCCCAATTCCCCGATAAAAATCTTAAAAAAAAAAAGTAAAAGAGAGTAAAAGGGATGAGAAGACAAATATATATATATATAATTTTTTGGGGGGTGGGGAGGTCGGGCAGTATCTCTCATATGCTCCATAATTTTACAGTTGAGGAAACTGAAGTTCAGGAAGTTATGATTAATATAAGGTCACACATCTAGTAAGAGAGAATAGCTGTCTCACCCAAAGCTATGTTCTAGGGGAAGTAAAATTTACATTGTAATTGACATTCTCTATATCCTTATATCTGAGTCAGTGTATATTCTTTCTCTTCTGGAGTATTTTCAGGAATGACTAGTATATTTTTTCTTTTGTGGCATTACCTTGCTGTAAAGCAGTTCATTAATAAGCACTCACCATTTCTTTTGGCTGGTATCTCCCATGCTCTTTCTCAATTCTTTGTGGGACTCATTTCCATTTTATCATGTAATATCAACAACACAACTTAGTTTTGTCATTTTCAAGAACACTATTCTTTCAACCGTTGGTATCAAATTGTATTTGCCCTATTAAGTCCTGAATTCCATACTCCAGGCAGGCGATTTCTTGAGTGGTGTGGTAGACTGAAGCATGTTCCCCAAAATTCATGTTAAAGGCTCAGCACTCAATGTGATGATATTTACAGATGGGACCTTTTGGAGGTCATTAGATTTACATGAGGTCATGAGGGTAGGGCCTTCATGATGGAATTAGTCCCTTATAAAAGACACCAGAGAGCTTATGTCCCAGTTCCTCCCTCCCTCCCTCCCTCCCTCTCCTGTATGAAGACATAACGAGAAGGTGACCACCTACAAGCCAGGAAGAGAGCCCTCACCAAAACCTGACCATGCTAGCACCCTGATCTTGGACTGCCAGCCTCCAGACCCGTGAGAAAATAACATTTTCTTGTTTAAGCCATGTATTTTGTTATGGCAGCCAGAGGAGACTGATACCCGTGGTTTAGCCATTATTAGTAACACCAGGTTTTACTGAGTTATCATGGTTGGTTTGCATAGTTCATTGGATGACTGCAAATCATCCCTGGGCTTGACAGATGCATTATTTCTTAATTCAAAGCCCAGGAGTATTCTATTTTAGCCAACATGAGTGTGCCACTTGGCATTTTCTCAGAACAGGAAACTGTATCCCAAGCTAACCTGCAAGTTAACAGCAAGAGGACCAAGAGCAGAGGGAAGAGGAATGGCGCTTACTGCCTGCGAGTGCTGCCTATGGGGAAAGGGGACAGGAAGAGCCGAGAGGGCAACAGCTTTCTCCCGAGTCCATCTTCCCAAGGGAAGACACAGGGTGAAGACTGTCTCTAAGGCCCAGGCTTTCGATCCACAGGTTTCAGGAATTTGGGATTTCACAAACCAAAAAATTATTTTAGAAACTGGAAAAGGAAACTCCAGGTTTGGAGAACAATGGGAGGTGTCTGATTCTTACTGTCTCCCATGTCCTCCTAAATAAAATGATACATTCAGCAAGGGGAGTAAATTAAGCCTTCGATGACTTATGCCTCCCATATCAAAAGGCAGTGAGCACTGCAACCTTCAAATCACCTGTAAACAGAGAAGAAACATTCCAACAAAGCTCCCACTTCTCTACTGCTGCTGGCAAGCCTGTGAGTGAGAAGAGCACGTAAGTGGAAGTTTAAGAGATTCTGTGAAAAGGAGTAGGTAGGACCAGAAGACTGAAAAAAAGCTAAAGTAAAATCATCCTAGAAAGTGCAACAGTAAAGGTCAAAATTCTGAACACAGTTGGGTATTTGATAGTTCACAGAACTAGTTACACAGAAGAGGCAGGACTGGAAATGGCAGATTTGAAGAAGCACTGTATCCAGAGAAGAACACGGCAGTAGAAGGAAAGAAGGAAGGAAGAAAGGGGTATTAAGTATCTGGAGATAATAAAAAAAAGAGACAATGCACACAGCTTTGTCTTTCCCCAGCATCAACACAATTCATTTCTGCTGCCGAAAATCCTCCCCCCGTCCAAAAAAACCCAAACAGCTAAAAAGCATACCAGAACACCCTACCTAAATAAAATGTCCTCAAACAAGTATATGGTATATGAAAAACTAGCCTAAATCAGAAGTATGCATACTAAAAACAGAAAAGCATAAATATAGGGAGAAATGAGTGTTGACTGAATGCAGGAAAGACATAAAAAAGAAATATCATAAATAAAGAATACATTCAAAGGTGCCTGAAAGTATTAGGATAAAAATTTAAGGCTTGAAAAAAAAGCAAGAAAAAACAACCAAGAGAATAAAAATGAAATAAAGTTAAAAAGGTCACAGAGAAAGTGGTTAAAATAGAAGACAGGCAAAAAGGACTCAACCTATGCCAACTGATGTCACAGAAGGGCAAAAACAATAGTCAAATTAATACTTAAAACTGTAAAAGAAAACTTCCCAGAAATAAAGGAAGAGTTGAATCATAGAAAGGGCCTATCAGTTGCCAGGAAAATTGACCTGGAATGATCAACTCTGATATATATCTTAATAAAACCACTGGATTCTGAAAATTAAAAAAAAAAATCAAAAAAAAAATCTCAGGGTCTTCAGGCAAAGATAAAATAAAGGCAAAAGAATTAACAGTGAAGCAACATTTTCATAAGACTTAAGAAAATGTGAACCAAGTTATCCTTTAAATACCACGACTATAGGAAAATAATGTTGAACATGCAAGAACTGAGAATACCATATAAATATATAGTATAAAAGCTACTAGAGGATGAGTTTCATTCAACCTAAATGACTGAGAAAACTTAAGCAAAAGTACTCATCATGAGGAATTCATGTATTTAATTGTAGAGGTTAGACTGCAACAATAGTGGGAGAAGGGGTAGACCAATAATATGTAAATATTTTGTTTTGATAAAGTAGAAAAATGCAATTAAAAATGAGAGAGAAAAAAAGGAAAATGTAGAAAAAGAACAGAGTCTCATTTAGGAAGTTTTTTAAAAAGCAGAGAGGACACACTACAAAAAAACAAAACAAAAAACCACAAGGATTCACA